TTGTCATGGCCCATTTAAAACAGCGGATGTCTGGCTGTTTGAGTGCATGTGCGTGTGGCTTGGTGTTGGTGTGTTGGTGGGCAGTGGCTTGAATCAAATGTGAATCAAATGCGAGGCTCTGAATAATTAGAGGCCCATTGCGAACTCGCTGCGCGGCCCACTTGATCTAATCGGGTTAATAGCCTTTGCATGTCGCGCACTCTGTGTTAGGGAGGTGTTAAATGTTTGTAATGACCGCACATCAACTTTAATAGGCATGAATTGAAATGGAATGAAGAAAAATTGCCACAGCAAATGTTGACTGATCAGCTTTTGTTGTGCGTGTGTAGGCAGGTGTGTGCGTGCGCTCATGTGTAGGTGTCAAACATCAAAAAGTTTCCGTTTTGCAAACACACAAAGATTTGCATAATTATAGTCCTTCAAAATTTTGATGAAGTGCTTGGCGTTTTGTTCTTTTACCAAGTAACAAAAGTAACAAAACAAAAGTGTATTGTTCTTGTTTTCATGCAATTACTACATTTTGTTGGCCGTCTCTTAGAAATTATTTTCAGTGCTATTAAGCTAGAGATCTTAATTTTGTATGTACTCTGGTACGTATACTTTAGGTTAAGTGTAGGAGTACGCCCATATAAGGGTTCTCCCTTTTGGTGTAACCAAAAGAGCATAAATTAGACAATTACGATATTGTACCAAAATTGGTATAAAGGACGCCTGATCAACTCTATCAACATCATGATCCGAAAGACAGCTGAGTTCATAGAGTCAGATCTCTCAATCCGCACGCAATGAACTAAATTTTAAATAAATTTATATAATTGTTTGCAATACATATCACATAACTTTTTATAATATTTCTTTATTTACCAATTAATCTGATGCCTTGACAAATTTTTATATATAGCTCAAAAATCCTCAAATTCTCATATAGTTGAATGCGAGCAGAATAATGTTTTAAGATCTACAGAATGGAAGCATACATAAACCTTTAATATAACAATAAAAATGATATTCAACAATATAAAATTTTACAAATTAATACATTTTGATGCAATTTTCCCAATTATTATATAAAATCATAAATCATAAATTTGAAAGAGTAGCACACTGGGCTTTATCATATATTCCTTGACTTTGTTGATATTGTTCATCCGGAACTACAGTGTTTATTAGTAGTTCCTCATAATCGAGGCAATAGTAATACTTACGTGCTTCGGTTGTCTTTAGTACCTCTAGATATTCAATACATAAATTTGCTCTGCACAGTGTGCAAAGTATTTCTGAGTCAGGCACTCCCCACTCTAGCTAGCACTGGCATCTCTTGCCATTCAACAATACTCCACGTTAAATTGTTTTCTAATAACACAGTTCAACAGATGCGTTAAATAGCCGGCAAGATCCATACATTTCAATCGCGCCCCATCAAAAGCTTTCGTAAATAACAAATGCCAGTTAGGGTTGTATTTTATATTTTTAAAATTTATTTTTATTGCATTTTTTCTTTTTTTTTTCTTTCGTTTGTATGAATCTCAAATATTCTGTTTGTTTTGTTTTCTTGTTTGTTTTGTGTTACTCTGCGCTATTTTATTTGCCATACGCATATATTATTACATTTTCTGCACGTTTTTAAAGATTTCCCATTTTTATATTAATTTTTATGCTTGTTTACAATTTGTCACAACCTTACAAATTGAAAATTGATATAAACCAATATATAGTTTTTGCTCAATTAAATTTGTCTCTTGTTTATAGCCATTTATGAATGCATTGGATTGTATCTGTGTGCGTGTACATAAACAAAAGTTAAGGGAGTTAAGAGAGTTTAAGAGGGAACGGGTCCACAAGTATCGAGAATGTTTCGTCTGCTGGGAGATGGAGAGAAGCTGCTGTGTGAGTGTGGGAAATTGTTGCGGGAGTCCGCTAATATAATACTATTCGTCTCTTCTGTTGTGTTATCAATTTTGTTTGTAAGGAAGCGCCCGGGGACGCTTAACTTCTAACTCTCGTCTCTATACACAATGCTGTTTTAAAAATATTTTCCATCATCGTTTAAATGTTGAAATGTCTGTCTAATCAATTAATCAATCATTCATCTTGGGGAGGGGGTTTTCTGCTCACAAGTTTTCATTTCATATATATATATATATAATTTTGTTGTTTTTTTGTTTTTTATTTATTTTAATTTTTTGCTTTTTGCATTTGTTTGCTTTGTCCATTGATAAAAACAAATGGTACAACTTACAATTTGGCACATCTTTAAAGATAAGTGTTTTATTTCTTTTTTCATATAATATATATTCATATATATAATTCATATTTATACTTTATATAACGCCTATGCGTATGCTCTATGTGAAAGTGAACAAAAGCGGCGCGGGCTTACAGTTAGACTACACAGATTAAAGATTACAGCTTTAAGATTCGTAATTCTCATTCTTGTTCTTGTACTGGGTGTTTAATAATTGGGTGTGTAATAGGGCGGGCGCACAGAAATTATCGAAAGTATTAAATAAAAATTAAAATATATAGTTTAAAAATAGGTATGTAGTATATGTATATATATTATTATATATTTATAGCTGCAGTGTTTGATTGAGTTGCGTTTGCATTTTACATATTTATACTTAGGTTGATTTTAGTTCATACCTTTGCTTAAGACTGTGTTTTCTTTTTCTTTTTGTTTTGTTTTAAAAAATTGCGGTGGAAGTTGAGTTTATAAATTTTTATGTATTCTATTATGTTAGAGTTTTAATAACTACTTGGTTTATTTCGCCTTGTATACCAAACCCAAAAGTATTTCAGTTTCCTGTGTGTGTGTTGCCAAAAATTGTGATATACTAGGATTGTTTATATATGTATTTATTTCTGTGCTATTTTAAAAGATTTATTTTATTTTTGTTGTTTTTTTTTTATTTTTTTTATTTCTTTTTATTTGCTTTTGTTTATTCTTTAATTTAATTAAGAGTCTATTCACTTGAAAGCTACATTTAATTTGGCAATTGTTGGGTTTGAATTGATTTTTTCCTTTATTAGTATTTATTTTTTATTTCTTTTTTCAGTGTATTTGTCGTCAGCATAATAACTAAATCTAACTAAAAATCATATTTAAATATAAACTTTGGCTTGAAAAATGTCAACGTAATTATAATTTAAATGTTAATTTTTCTTTCTTTTGCAATTGTTTTGCAATTATATTAAAAGAAACACTCTGTGAACATTTCAAATCTGAATATGACATAAATTGCTTCGAGTTGCTCTTGTGTGTGTGTTTGTGCGTGTGTCTAAGTGTGGAGCATAAGAGAATTCATAGTAATTATGTACAATCTCAAAAAGTAAATATATAATTAGCAAATAGAAGATGAACAGCAAGTGTTGGATTCTTTTTTTTTTTTTTTTTTTTTTTTTTTTTTTTTTTTTTTTTTTTTTTTTGAGTGAAAAGGATAAATTCGAATGAGCAATTGCACATACACTCAAAACCGAATTTAAGATATATTGAATAATTTTATTTTTCAGTTTTTCGTTATTCCTTCTTTGTTTTTCATATACAAACAACGAGTATAAGTCTTAGGACAGTAGCTGCCTAAGGATCGAAATAGAGAACGAGGTCATATTACTTCTTGAGCATTTCTTTTTTTTGTTTTGTTTTTTTCATTTGTTATTTCTATGGATTGATTTCTTCCAACATACATTTCAAATACACAACTGTATAAGTTAATTGTGTGCATTAGACTTGATAGAGTGTGTGTAAAATAAATTCTTAGCTTGCTTAGGGAAGTTTTGTGGTCTATACCAAAAAATTAACAACACTGAAACGATGTGAAGTTTTGTAATATATATATATCAATTTTTGTTCTTTAAATTTAAATTTTCTTTTTTTGTTTGTTTGCTTTTTGGTTTTTACACAACACACAAAGAAAGTGCTACATAGTAAGAGCTAATAATGTACTTTATTTTAATGCTTACTACGCAATTTCACGTTTTTATCTCTGTCACTGGAAGCTTGAATTTAAAAACTATTCTGCATTAATATTTGTATTATTATTACTCATAATATATATATATGTATATATATTTTTTGCTTCTTTTTTTTTCCTTCTATTAAGGACTTTTTTTTTTTTTTTTTTGTTGCTGCTACGGCCGCATTAAAGTAATTATTATTGTATGTTCCAAGGATATGTCTACGTGTTGATCTTTTGCATTTACTTATGCACTACGAGTTGAGCAATATCATTTTCATTTTCATAGAGTTGACTTTGCATTTTAGCTGCCGAATAAAAGTTTCTAGGAACAATATGGAGCAAAGCAGATAAAAACATGTTAAAAATAAAAATTATAACTTGACAATAATAAAATGAGTATTCTTTGGAGACTTACAAACGTATAGAGAGATTAAGGTAAACAACTATCAGATGTTTGCTCTAAAACTTTTCTTTTGCTGTTTCTTAATTTGGATTGTTAATTTCAAATAATTATCTGGCTCTTGTTTACTACAAACTACAATGCTATATGTAACGAATACATGAACAGAAATAATGAAATTTGTATATATTTAAATATATATATATGTATATATATATATGTGTACAGCTAACTTAATAAACCAAACTAAAAAGCAAAACTTGATCTGGGTATCTTGTCAATTTTCGAGTTTGCAGCCTGAAAATACATTCGAATTGCTCATTTTTGATATACAATTACAATATCTAGTGGTATAATAATAATATATCCAGTAGGTATATAATTTTTAAATATAAATTCTGCCGCACAAAATTTCAGCTTTTGTTTTTGGTAAAAATCTACGCGTGAAGCACGTTTTTTTTTATCGCAAATTAATTGCCATTTAAATATTTTGTGTATACTGCATTTCTTTTTTTATGCTTTTTATGGACGACATTGATTTGTTTTTGGTTTTTTTTTTTTTTTTTTGTTTGTTTAAAAAATTGTTGCTTTTTTGCCTAATTGGCCGCTAGCATGCGGCTGCTTTTAGCTTTGATTTTCAACTCTCCATTTTGTGTTTTTGAGTGGGTTCTGCGTTCCGTCGATCATCTTTGAGCATCTGTTTTTGCGCGTCTGGATCTATGTATATAGATTGAACTGCTACATACTGCACTGTAGGAGGATGAGTATTTACGTCTAATTCTTGTTCATACATTGAGCATTTTCGAGAGTAGTTCAATTGCGTTTTTTGGCTGACTTCTGAAGCTTTTTAATATGGCGTGAAACGATTGTAGCCACCGCGATACATGGTTGCCTGATTGAAATTGGATATGAGATTGGCAAATGGAGAAAATAAGTCATTGAAGTCATTTTATGTCATTTTATGTACATGTATTAATTCAAGTAGTTTAATTTTAATTCAGGCAATAGATTTAAAGCGTAAAAACCAACTTACCCCATAGCCGGGCACGGGTCCGATTCCATGTCCTAGATAAGGATCCGCATACTCGCGCGCGTAACTAGAAATATTTCGTTTGCGGTTATTAATTACATTTTTAACGATAAATAGTTGCTATAAATAGGTTTTAGGTGCTTGATGAACTCCATTCGGGTTAGTTGTGTTTAGTTTTTGTGTGTTAATTTTTTTTTTTTTTTTTTTTTTTTTTTTTATTAGTGGCTCTTTTGATTATTCCTCAGATATATATCTTCACAGCTTCAGTATTCTTCTTCTTCTTCTTTTCTCTCTCCAGCTTCTTATTATCAGTTAGTATTAGTAAAAGTTGTTTAGTTTCGATAGTGTTTTGCAAAAATGTTCGATTGTTAGTTGGAACTCTTCAATTTTCGGTTTTAGACTTTTGCTACTCTTGAGAAGGTTTATGTTTTGCGAATTAAACAAAAAAGAATCAAATCAAATAAATTAGTAATATGTAAATAAATAAATATTACAATGGAACAATAAGGTAATCAATTAATTAACTACTACTTAATAAAAGAGATAACAAATAATGGTAATAAAAGAGTTGTGCTAATAGAATAATATGCAAATGATATAAAATAGGTTATTTCGAAGTCCCAAAATCTGGTTTTAATATAATAATTTCAAAGATAATATTAGTAAAAATATATATGATACGGAAATAGGCCTACACAACGGCTGTTGTAGCTGTTAAGATTATCAATGATACGTTTATATGATAATACAGACTTAAATAAATATAAATATACATATAATAAATACATATATACTAAAATAAATCACAATGAACTGAATCAAGAAAAAATAAAATAAATTTGCAGTATGAATTATATTGTATCAAATAAACTATCTGGGAGTCGAACATTTAATCTATTACAATTCATATCTAATCTTCTTTAATTTTTAGTTGGATTACTTTACGTGTTTTTGGTTTTAAGTTGTGTTACGATTAAATTTGATTAATTTGTTAATATAGTGCGGGTTAGCTGAGCGCTTAGTCAAGTCTTTTGTGCGCGATGAGTGTGATGGAGCTCAACTGGGCGAGCGTGGGACATGAACACATGGAAAACTGAGATGAAAACTTACCCCGCTACGGTGGCATAGCCAGCGAGTGCCGGCTGGGCGGCAGCAGCTGCCGCGGCCCCGTAGGCCCGGGCAGCGACCGCCGTGTAGGTGGTGGCCGCCGTGGCATACGCCTGCTGCTGGGCCTGAGACAGGGGTGTCTTTAACAGCGGAGCAGTGGCCTGGAATAACGTGAAGCAAATTGTGTGTTAAAGGGAAGGTCAATCGAACAGATACAACGGCAACGACAAAACTAGCGACAGGTGATAGAGAGAGCAAAATGGCAAAAAGAGTTAAGAACCTAAACCAAAAAAAAAAATTATATAATAATAAATATATATACATATATATAAAATATATATACATATTTATTTTTAAAACCAAACATAAGAGGAGTGCAATCAAATAATATCAGTGCGTTTTTACTCTTTGCTTATTGTAGTAGACATAATTATAATTTCAAGGATGTGACCAGCGAATTCAAGCTATAAACCCAAGATGCCAAAATTCTTATGGATGTACGGTGTGAGTAAATGCTACAAACAAAGTTTCAAAAGTGCAGGGATTCATAAAGAACTTATATCGAGTGTATATTCATATAAAGATTATAGCTAGATTATAACTTAGATGTGGGTGCAAGAGACAAAGCGCAGTCCCATTAAAAGTATGAAACAGAAAAATGAACAACACACATACATAAAACAAACAGTTTTAATTTGGGCACAACAGACTAATTTTCTAATGGATTTGAATATATATAAATTCATTGTTTCGTTTTGTTTTTTAATTTTCTAGCTAAAAATGATTATTTTTACCAAAACATTCTGTGGTACCGGAATGCGGTTGATCGTATGTGGGGTACTGTTTAGCGTAGTCACAGTGCGGCGCTGTAAGTTTTTCGATATATTTGGTATAATTTTTGGTATTTTTTGTATTTTTTTTCGTTTTAGTTTTGATAATGTTGTATATATATTTGATGCAGTAGTTGTTGTAGTTGTTGTTGTTGCGTATTTTGTAACAGTCGTGAAAAAAGTAACCAAAAAAGAATACATACTTAGTAAAATTACAAAAATGTTCACAGCATTGAAGAATAGTTATTTATATACTACTTAAGTATAGATGTAATTTATTGATATCAGTATGTATAAGGTATAGATAGATAGATAGCAAAGCAAATTTCACAAGAAAATAAAATATTCAAACAAAACCTTGCGTGAATGAAATTCGAAAAGGAAAGGAAACATAAACTTGGAAATTCTTTCGACTTTCAAATAGACAAAGACAGACAGAAAGAGAGTAAAAGAGAGCGAGAGTAAGAGCGGCATGCAGCCTGAAAGTATGCTATGCGTCTTTTTCATGGCCGCTAGCTAAAGCAATTGTTTTTTTAATGTTTTCTTTTTTTATGGAGACTACGCGTGTAATACATAGTTGTAGAAAATGTGTTAACAAAATGAATAAGCGATGCATGTAAGTAATCGCTTCATAGATAGAAATAGACGTAATAGAACAATGATAAATTACATGAATACGAGTATTTATATACATAAAAGCAATTACTTATGTATGTATATATAATTTTAATTATATTTTTGGTTTTTGTTAATGACACTCGGCCCTAATTGGAACTTGTGATATATTTGTATGCATATATTTTGGTTTTGCTGTTGTACGTTTACACGCTTGCTAATGCCAACAAATTTTACAGACTTAGTTGCACGACCAGTTACCAAAGGATAAGAAACAATAGAAAAACACCATTTCTCAATGTGTGGGTACGTGAGTGGTATATATAAAAAGTGTGTCTCAAAACTCGTCGTTAGTGTTGTATGCAATAAAATATAATATAATATGTTGAAGGAAAACATAAATAATAAAATCATAATAATGTAATTGTAACAAATAGAAAGAGCGAGAAATGTACAAACATATAGAAGAAGAATGTTCTGTTCAAAAACCAAGTCAAATATTGGTGTCTTTCACAAGTTACAATTGAAAGTAATGTGTGAATAAATGTGTATGTACGAGAGTATAATAAATATTGTAGTTTCAAGAACGTTCTTAATACGGTTTTGTTATGTTTTACGGTTAACGTATCGATCTGAATAGGTTTCATTACATTTAATATGGCGGCTGGCTGTGCGGCTGGAACTTCAGTGACCGGTTTGGCTGCCTGTAAAATTCATATATAATATATATATGTATATATATTTATTTTGTTTTTGTTTTCAAGGGGGTTTTTGTTTAGCTAGCCAGCTTTAAACTAGATGTGTGTGTATAGATATATTGTAAATGTATCTTAACATATATTACACTAATATTAAGCCTAAATGACTGTCTTAACTACTAAGTGTGGAGTACAATTTGCATAGACTCACCTGGAAGCGTAGATTTGGATCAGCGGCTGCTAAGAAGGGATCATAGTATACGCTGTGGGTGTTTAAGTAGAAGGATAAGATAGATTCGTAGATTAATAACTACATTGACAACTTTATTTAATCGATTTTCATGACAGCTGAGGCAGATCAATATTTTCAACAAATGCTCATCAATTTTTCTCAATTTTTCGTTCATTGACCTGACTCGACTGCCATTTGATATATATAAATATATCTATTTATATATAAAGCACTTAAAAGCAAAATTCAAAAATTTTCATATATATTAATATTATTATTTTCATTCCTCTTTTTTAACGCACTTGTGTGTGGATTTTGGGTTGGGCGTTACGAACAGAAGGTGAAGGCAAAGTTTTGGCCTAGAAGAATATTGTAATTGAATGCGAAAACTTTGCCTGCGCCCTTTTCTGTTGTTTTTCTTTTTCTCTTTGTTTTTAATATATATTTGTTGTGCCGGGTACATTTGGTAAAATGACTGAAACTCAGGGCGTAACTGAAAACGTAAGGATTCCCTAGCTGCAGGCTGCCTAACATGAACCCTACTCAAACCTAAATTGCCTAACATCTAACTCTAAGCTGCCTCCTCTCCTATTCCCTCGGTTTGCGCTACCCTATGTGATGATGAGGTGATTATTGGATGATGCAGATGCACATGTAAGCTATAAGTAGAACACTAACTAGCAAGGATAATCAACCATATGTGGTAAGTACGAGTACGATATACAATACAACTGACTCGATTCTACGAAAAAAATTTATAAGAAACACTCTGCAACCTCTGCATTTTAATAGACAGAAGAGACATTCATGCACCTAGCTAATTAGTTGGGAATAGTTTCGTATAAAATGGTAGCATTATCATTGTTATCATTGTCAGTCATACGCTATTATTTAGTTATAGAACAGCAGCCACAAAGAAGGAACACAAAATTGTATACGGGTGTATTTCGAAATAATAATATAATATAATTATTTGAGATATAGAGGAAACATGCGCGACAGCAGCAGCAGCAGACGCATCAAAAACATTTCTTTTAAATTCAATTCAATTTCAAATTCATCATACGCCTAGTGGTACAGTATTACGTAGGACCCTTGAACCAAAGTAATAAAAAACTTATACGATTATCAAAATACGAATGCCAAAATAACTGCTCTCAGTCAAGAATAAATGTTGTTGGGTATTTAAGTAGTAGTTAATGGCGTGCGTTAATTGGTAGCGGCTTTAATAGCTGTTGTTTGTTGCTGTTGTTGTTGTTGTTTGTTGATTTTATACAAGAGACAAGTCTAAACTTGCGATTTAATTAGATGGTACATTAGGCAAATGTGACGCTATGCATATATAGTTGGATATACTTATAAAAACGTTACACACACAAGATAGCTAATTATGTCAAAAGAATCACCGCATAGACCAAAAATTGAGAGACAAAAACAACGTTAAAGCTATAAACAAATTTGCGCTCGCAGATGGAATGGCGGATGGGGAGGGGAAGTGGACTAGAGGGGGGATGAGGTTAATTTCAGTGGGATAAGGATGAGTTGGGTGTGTGATATAATGAAAGTTGACTGGTGAGCAGCCGCAATAAAAGCAACAGCAGCGGGCCGCACAACATGGCGTATGCGTAATTATTCATTGCATGCAACACAGTGAGCCAGTTGTTGTTGCTGCTGCTGCTGGTGCAGCATTGTTGGCATTGGTTTTTGAGTAAGCGTTCGAGAGCGAGCGTAGACACCACATGAACAGAAAGTAAGTGCGCTAAAACTACATTCAATATATAGAGATTATTCAACTAAAAAAGTAAATAAATAAATAAACAAGATACAACTAGAGCTACATGGCAGTTTCTCTTTAAGTCGATTTTTTGCGACGACGACGTTTGGTTGTTTTCATTTTTTTTCACTTTTTTTTTTTTGTGTTTTTGGGCAACGTGGAGTGAACTCTACTTACGGCGCAAATCCATGCAAAGCTGCAGCATTGTTGGCCGCATTAGCCGACGCTGCCATGGAAGCAGCAGCCGCAGCAGCAGCGGCCGGCGTTTGGGATGCCGTTGCAGCGGATAGCCGTGCCGCGTACGCGGCGGCAGCGGCGGCGCTCGCACTGTTCGCCACACCTGGGTTCTGTGCGGCTGCGGCCGCTGCCAGGGATTGCTGCAGCGCCGAGTGCTGCTGAGCGGCAGCAGCCGCAGCACTGCCAGCGGCAGTGGGCACGGCGACGGCCTGCAGCGTCGGCTGCAGCTGGGCTAGTTGAGGCGCGAGCGCATGCGCATGGGCATGCGGGTGTGTGTGAGCGACGGCGGCGGCGGCGGCAGCGGCGTGCTGTGAGTGCTGGGCAGCGGCGGCGGCAGCGACTGCGGCATGTTGTTGCTGTTGCTGCTGCTGCTGTTGTTGTTGCTGCTGTTGTTGTTGCTGCTGCTGGTGCTGCTGTTGCTGCTGTTGCTGGTGCTGCTGCTGTTGGGCAGCAACTGCGGCGGCCACCTGACGTCGCTGTTGCTGCTGAGCGGCGGCCGCGGCGGCTGCCAGCGCCGGATGATGGTGCGGATGATGGGGATGGAAGGCAACTCCATGTTGTATGGCAACTCCACGCATGGCAGCAGCAGTTACGGCTGTGAGGCGGCCAAAACGATTTTTTTTTTTTTTTTTTTTTTTATTTCGATTTTGATTTTGAGTTTTTTTTTGCAACGATTTGTACACAACATTTTTACCAGTGTGAATGCGTGTGTGTTTGTTTGTGTGTGTGTTGTCAGTGTGTGTGGGTGTTTGTACACACGCATTACATTTCATACATGTGTTGCGTGTATTTGTGTGTGTGTGTGTGTCATTGTGTTCGTGTGCAAAAAGTAGAAAAAAGGAAAAGAAAAGAACATAAAATGCATGCGGTTAGTTTCTCTCTCATTATATAAGTAAATTTATATAATATATATTTATATATATAGTATATAGCATATAGTATATGTTTAGCAAATACTAGGCAATATGTAGTAACTGTTTGAATGTGTAGATATTCAAATGATGTTGTTGGTATATACATATAACAATACATAAGACATACGTGAGTCAGTCATATAAAGGGGAATTCAGTTTCAGAAACATACTTAATTAATATTATATAATTATAACATTGAATTACCAAGAAATGCTACGCTCTTTTGTTTTTATGTTGTGTGTGTGTTTGTTTATATATAATTACATATGTACGATTTATTATCATTATATAACCATCCATTAACAATACGAAAAACATTAGACCGATCTTCAGTTTAGAATAAAAACATAGACATATATATATAGAGTTTGAGGTTTACGTGTGTATGCGGCAAGACATTTTGTTTTTTTACAACTTATTGCATTTAATTAATGTTTGGTCAAATCATTATCAAGGTATTCAGAGAACAAAGCATGTAGTTTCATAACGTTTATGTGGAAAGTTGTTTATATGTATGTATTAATAGAAACCTTCAAGCCTTAAAATGCAATCAAGACTAGGAAAAAACACATTTACTAAAAACAATATTGATGGTGCCGAATGGATTAAAGTTTACGATTACAAATATTACACAATTAGATGATTGCTATGGATCGATGAGGACGAATAATCCAGCTTAAAGCGCTCTGCACAATCTGTCAAATGTCAATGGATGCCATCGAATCATTGCGACTCGATATGTAATTAAAAATACATTTTGTGCTATTCGTGACAAACAATTAGCAGTCAGACCGCAATAAATTGGTCAAGAGCGCTGCGCTTTGCTGGCCATAATTGGAGATTCAGAGGAGCTTGTATGCAAATGCATTTCAATGCGAAATGCAAAATACAAAAATTAATTATTGAATTTGTCAGCCGAGTACAAATTGCAAATTTATATGGCTCTTATACGAAACAAATTTGATTTTTGCTATATAAATACTAATTAAAAAGTTGCCAGAGATAATATTTGTGTGTAACATTTGCAGCAATTTCGAGGCCCATTTCCAAATGCAATTACCAAAAGTTAATTTCGATTTGCGCTATTTACAAATAAAAAAGCATTAGAGCCAAGCAATCAAAGCTCCGAATTTGGGGCGTTATCAGTTTGTAGCATGCAACAAAGTGTAAACGCATCGTATCAATATCTGATAACAATTCCTAGGCCCAACTTCCTTATAAATAACCACATCCATTTTCAATTTTATTTTCATTTAATTAAGCTTAATTTTTCTTTCAATGAGAACACAAAATAAAGACGTGCAAAATTGCAAAGTAAGTAAAAACATATCAAGAGTATAAACAGTTAAGAAATATATGAATAGAGCTTGAGCGAGATAGAGAGACAGAGAAAGAGAGAGAGACTAAGAACTAAGAAACTAAATGAAATTCCTTTATAAAATGAAGCTTGCTTCGCATAAAATTGTCTACCGTCACACGATATAGGGCACTTTATAAACTACGATATAATGTAGGTAAGTACGCTATGGTTAAAGCTAAAAACCTTTTCATACTTAAGAGCTAATTACAGTTGTCAGGTGAGAGTGACACTAGTTGATTGGATCGATTGATTGATAGACTGATTGGCTGATTGATTGGTTGATTCTAGGGTTGTGTGTTGCTTGTGTTCGCCTAGCCGTACGTAGAACAATGCAATCTCAAGGGCGTCCAACAGGTATGCAATATATAGTACTTAGCATATAGTCAAACCCAAATGCGTAACCAAAAGAACAAGACAACAATTATATATATATATTTAGGTAAGTATATGGTACAGATCTCAAAACTAAGTTTGTTGCTTGCTGTTATGCCTGTGGTTGTGTGTGTGTGTGAGTGTGTAACTACATATGTATGTCTCGCTGGCTGTGTCTGTGTCTGTGCGTGTGTGTGTGTGTTTGGGTCTCTTGTGGATGTCAACAAGTTTGCTCAATTTTTGAATTCTGCTTTTTTTGGCGCATACACTCAAAGAAATGCGATCGACAATTCAATTCAATGTACCTCCGCCGTGTCGTTGCTGGTGCTGCAGATTGCGCCGTTACAGCTGCTGGGAGTGCACTGTGCGCCGGATGGCGGGGCGCCAGCATAATGGGCGTGGCTGCTGGCGTAGCTGAGGGCGCTGGGGGTGCGGGCGCGCTGTGCACCGCGGCTGGCACCGTTGCCGCCTGCGCCACCGACAGTGGCATCGGCAGCGCCATCGGCGGCAGCGTCGGCGCTCCGGCACCAACCGGCGCACCCAAAAATGGCCAAGCGGCGGCCACGGGCAGCCGATAACCTTGAGGTTCACATACATGTTCATAAATTTTGTTAGATTTTGTATTTGTATCATTCAATGAAACAATGGATGGATGAAACTGGGCTAAGTGTGAGTGCGTGTCGGCCACACACACACACATATGTATAAAACATATATGTGTGAGTGAATGTATGTGTGTGTGTGTCGTATTTACAGTTCCAATTGTGGGATGCAGTGATTCGTTCGACTCGGTTTGGTTTTTCTTTCTGATATAAATATATAGCTTAAATCTAGTGCTAAATAAAGCTGTTTGGTTCGCGACGAAGTTAACAGTTAAATACATTCGTGTTTGTTCTTGCGTATACATATGGATAGATGATAGTGTGTGGGTGAGATTGAGTGTGTGTGTGTGTGTGTTTATACATAAGTAATAAGTATTTACGCTAAGGAGCATTACCGACAATGTTCAGACCAAAGAACCAGACCAAAATATGTCAAAACATAAAACGAACTAAGGACAGAAAAACAAAACGCACATACAACAAAACTGATTAAATAAATGTGTCAAACAAAATGATATTGATTGTTCAGATATGTATATAAAATTATAGTAAATATATATATATATATATATATATATATATATATATGTATTTATATGTATATATATCTTTTCAATAGTGTATATATATATAGTAGTTAAGTAGTATGCATAAGACAACACAGCCGCAATATGCTAAAATTCATAACCATTATTAGACGATCACAAGATCATCAGCATCATTAAGTCTAGAAAGAAAATGGTGACGCGCCTGATTCAGATTTACGAGCGGTAAGTAACGATATTTGTTTATTTCAATTTAGTTGTAATTTAATTGTCATTCGTGTTTTGTTTTCTATTTTTGGTTTAATTCTCTTTTGGTTTTTAATTTTGGCAAATATGGAAAAAAGTATACAAAAAAATAATTACATTAAAAACAGTCATCAAATATTTAGTATTGTAAAAAATAGGTTTACGATTATATTATAGTATAGTATGCAAACAGTTTAACTTGGAACCTAACAATAAAAGTCAATAAATCTATGAAATTTGCATTTGGGTGGAGATTTTTGAATGGCAAATTGAAAATGTTTTCTCGAACTGTCAAAGATCCCAGAGTTACATACAATACTTTTTACATAAGGAGAGCTGCCTAACATATTATTCATGTGTATGCAGATATATTGTCATTGTTGTCTTCTTTGATTTTGTTGTACTTGGTTTCGCTTACACTCTAAAAAGGCTTATACTTATATTAGGAACTGAATGGGTCTCGTATACATTAAAGATAACTTATTTTTGTCTGAATAGTTGGGTATGTGTGTGTGTATACGTGTGTGGGGGTGTGTGTGTGCTTGTGTTCAATTGTGTGTGGGTTATTTGAGAATTTATAACAAAATACACGGCAAGCAATAAATACAAAATACAAATACAGCAAAAGTATACAAATAAAACGTGACAGAACGCTTACCTTCAGGCCATTGTACGCAAACTAAAGCCGGTTGATTTATATGAATCGATGCAGTTGTTGTTGTTGTTGTTGTAGTTGCAGTTGTTGTTGTTGTTGTTGGCATGGAAAAATCAAGAGAAAACTTAAAATTAGTTTTACATTTTAAATTGCGATTTTATGCATATATTTATATATGTACAAAGACTTTTTATATAGCCAGCAGGATCAATAACATTTACAAGTTTGGCCCGTGCTAAATGCAGTTGCGGGATTTGTATATTTTGTGGATAAAAGCTTGCGGGGAAAAGGGGGTTTAGTTGCCAGCACACAACATGCATTTCGACTTGAATGGAACAAATATCTGCCATTTGGATTAATCAAATTTGGACTTTACATGCTTTTTCTCTCAAATGATTCGCCAATTTCTTCTGTTTCATGGATCAAGTGTGCGCAGAAAAGTATGCAATGAAAATTCTAAATGCTTCACAATGATGCAGATGCTGATGCTAGTTCAATAACAAATAAGCTATCTGTCGCTCTTTCGCTATTTGCTAAACAAATACATGACGAGAGGAGAGGGGGGAAATCGAAAAGTACATTAAAATAAATGTCAAATAGACATACACAGGCAGGCAGTAGGAATTTCTAGTTGTTTCTGTTGGTTGGGCGCACTAAGCTGAACATGTCAAAGGATCAACAGAAAAATATTTATACACAAATATATGTACATATATGTATGTATGTATGTAGGTGTAGGTCGAAGTTAACATACAATGTAGAAGGCAAAAGTTTCTGCAAAATGCTGTATAGCAGTTGGGTGAGAGTGTGTGAAAGAAACACATTTGCATAAGACACAGCAAGTAACAGCAACAAAACTGCGAGCAAAGGACATGAAGGACAAGACGACATCTGGAGTTGGTAAGAAGTTTTTGATTTTTTGCTGCTAAAATTTATGTGTATGCCGCAACATGTTTGCAACGTTGTGTGCTTTCCATTTTCTTTGTAATTATCCTTACTGCCCGCTCTGCGCCCCGCCACGCCCCACTCCGACTCGTTTGCCTTTGCCAACGTAACGAGCAATAAGAATAACGTGAGCTCTGCCCTCACTGCTGCCACAGCTAATGCTGCCGGCTTTTTGCCCGGCAAGTGAAGCCAGTTCGAAACGTGATAAAGTGAGTGCTTCCCCGCTCCCAGCGTGCCCCCCAATTCCGTTTATCCGGCAACACTATAACTACCTTTCGGTTGCTCTGTCTGACTATCTGTCTATCCGTCTGCCAGTCTGTCTATCTATAATATGCTGGCAGCCGCATAAATAGCTAGGCGTCCCAGCGGACACACTGCTTGCATTTAGTGCAACGCAAATGAAGCGCATTACGTGCACGTGGCAGAGCGCCGTGGAGCACCGGGAGGCGAGGAACAACCGAGCAACGAGCCTGGAAAAGCCAAGCCAAGCCACGGCAAAGGCACCCAGGGCAGGCCAAGAGATGCCGCCTGCAGCCACACCCACAGCCACAGCCATAGCCGCATCAGCATGTGCAGCATCTCATCTCCAATCTGTCTGTCCGCCTGCCAGTCCGTCTGTCTGTTGGCGATACAAAAGCATTTTGCATCTCCTGTCCACATGAAGGCAAAAACTCCGTAGGAGCAGCTGCTGGCTACATTTCAGCTGCTTCCCTTTTGCTTTGGCTCAGCTCGCTTTAGTTTTGTTTGCTTGGGCTGGGTTTGGGTTTGAGTTTGGTTTGGTTTGGCTTGCGTTGGGTTGGTAATCGGCTTATCGTATTTGAGCGAAACTAAAGTATAGATTTTGCGCTGTGAATACTTTTTAATGGCAACTTGCATGGAAAGACGATTTAATCAGCAGTATTATTTATTATACATGGCATGAAAAACTTTCTTGCTGCTGCTGTTTTTCTTCACCCTTTTTCTCTCTGACAGTCGTTTCCCATTTTCTTTTTCTTTTTTTTTTTCGGTAAAAGCGCAAACTTTGAGGTAACCGCAAGCTTAAATAAAAACGTGTATACTGCAAAACTAACATTAAATAACTAAGAACTTCTAACTGACAAAACTTCGTATAAGAAACCACACGAAAAGGACAGCGTATATGTATATATATATAGAGATATATATATGTGTGTGTATAGATATGATCCTATAAAGTTCCAGCTGTCAAATGAAGCAGTACGTACAGAAAGAACAGAACAATCATAGAAATCATGGACAGTATTCATGCTGGGACTGTGAGTGTAAATGCATATATGCTTAGATAATATCGTTTAGTTGTTGGTATTACAGGTAATTTCGAGTTGTTTAGCCAATATTGGGGATTTGTATCATGCCACCGTTAGCGTGCAACATGCCAGGACAATGTTGACTATAGTTTTGGGTGCTATTATACCATAAAAGGGGTTACGCTCGATCATGATTAGGTGCCTATGGCTATGGACATTAAGTGGATTAATTATGCACGAGCTATATATTGTATTTTTTTTTTTTTTTTTTCTTTTTGGTTTTAGTTTATTGTTTGCAAGCAAGTTACAAGACATAACACTAATGCAATTTTCCATTTATATTTGTTCTCTGGTTCGCTCACCTAGAGCTGGAGCCGGTAGGGCACCATCTTTGGTCAGTACAACTGTGTGTGTTGTTGGTTGTGTGAGAGAAAACAAAATAAAAAATAAAAAAATTGGTATTTTAATTTCATTTTTTCATTTTTCTTTGCAATTATTAAATCGTTGTATTCAATCAGTTTATAATACAAATTGAAGGACAAACACTTTAAATCCATAACTCTGGTTAATAGAACAAACAAGGCAAAATACTTATCAAACATTTGTGTATGTGTGTGTGTGTAAGTTTATATAGGTGTGTGTCTATAGACTGTTTGGTTAGCAACCGCAAATTCGGCTAGATTTTGTTAGTATGGCAATTCAGTTAACAAGTTTTGATTGCCTAACGCCTTGGCATACGTCTTATCAACAAGCTCCTCAAATTAAATCAAAAGCAATAACAAATTTCCAAGACCAAACATTTTCATTAGGAAACATTCGCTGAGCTTTGCTAACATTGCATTTGCAGCCGCCACAGAACTTTATGTGAAAAGTTCAACTTGAACAAAAGGAGAACCACAAAACACAAAACAAAACAATAAACAAAAAGAAACGGAAAACCGAATTTTAGAAAAAAAAAAAAAAAAAACGAAATCAACGAAATTTATATCAACAGTAAACGCAACAACGGCAACGGCCAGTCAAATATTATGGCAGTTGTGTTCAAGTTTTTATTGCTGTTGTTGCTGTTGTTATTTAAGTTGCCTTTTGCGTGCTTCTCATTTCTTATAGTTGTTCTAGGCCAGCCGTAATTGCATTTCTTTGTTCAACATTTAAACTTGTTTCGCTACATAGCTTACACTTAGTTCAATATACATAGGTGTTATACATGTGTGTCTGTGTGTGGTGTGTGCGTGTGTATATATAAACGTGTGCGTGTGTGGGTTAGAGCAACTTACCGTTGGGTACTGCTGTCACTTTTTTGGTTTGTACACGTGCAGTGGCGTTATTCACCTTCACAATGGTTATTGGTAACGAGAGAGTTCGAGTAACGAGTAGAGTTGAGTTCAGTTGAGTTGCAGCGAGCGTGGTGGGTTTTTGGTGGTGAGTTTTGTAGTTGTTTGATTTTTTTTTTTTTTAAATATAGTTTACGCATTATGTAGATTTATTTATATTATAGTTTAATCGCATTTTGCATGTACAGAGAACGTAGGAAAAAATTGGTGTTAGTTAACAATTACAACTGCATGAGGTGTATGTGTGTGTGTGTGTGTAAGTGGTTAAATCTGTGAGGGCGAATTAATAAATACTATTTGATTTTAACAGCTATAGCCCGTTTCCAATATTTGTGCTCCATCTATCTTTCACAGCCTTCAATATTCATTTCACGCCCGCACGATTGCATTTTCTCTCGATAATTAGGGAGCTTTCTGGTTTCAGAATACAACTGAAAATACTGATTGCCATCCTCTTGTGGGTCGCTGTTGAATTGTTTAAATAACAGTTGGCACTTTGCGCTTTTTCAGCATATTTTAACTGCCAATTATTTGTGGCCGTCCACTTAACATAAATACTGAGGCAGAGGGGTGCGCGGTGCGCACGGACAGACATCAATTCCTTGATGCGAAATGTGAAATGAGCAGGGCAAAAAAGTAATTAATTTTTAATTAAAGGCAAATAAAAAAGGCTGCGCATAATTTAAAAATTAATGAGCATTCGATTAAAATGCGAAATCAAAGTCCGCTGACCGTGTGTGAATCCGATTTTAAATACGCTTTGCATGGCCCCAACAGCGCAATCAATGCGCGGCAAATTTAATGAAAATAAAAGGAGAATAAATACAAGGTACCATAAAATAAAACTCGCTCTGCAATGTGAAAAAACGTGAAAGCTATTTCACGTCACGTAGACACGCAAAGGCCGAGACTTGAAAGCCAATTTCTTCAACCCGAAATTCTTGGCCCTCTTCTCTCATTGTAGTATTTCTTTGGTGGTAAATAAGAAAGTTGTGATAGTTTTGCAATTAGTTCTAGATAATAGTAGCTGCCCATGTATTGTGTGTATGTGTGTTTGTGTGTGTGTGTGTGTGTGGTTTATAGTATTTTTTGGCTTGCATGCACCCACCTCGATTTTGCGTCCCTCAACCACGGTGCCGTGTAGACGTTCGCGTGCTCGTTCTGCATCGTTGCTGTTAGCGAATGTTACAAAACCGAATCCCTGCCATTCGCAATCAAACATGCAATTAAAAAACATATAGAGTATATAAGTATATGCGTATACAAAGAGAGATATACACACACATATTCAGGTGGACTATATATGGAATAGATATGTATGTATATGCAGATATAATGTACGATTTCAAAACAAGGTTGGCACCAAGTCACACGGCTAAGCTACAGTATAGTATACACGAAAGGGAAACAGAATGGTGGGGAAGTAAGGTGCGGGGAGGGGGCATGGGGGAGGGCCCTGAGCATGCGGGCCTCAGCATCCTGGGGCATGCGTCGGCGCCTTAAATTATGCACATTCTTTTCGTGTCTTGCAGAGCAACAGCGCCCGTTGCTATGCAATTATATTTGTGAGCGGCGTCTGCTTAACGGTACATTGAAGTTTTGCCATTACAACTGGAGCTGCAGCCGCTGGAGCGAAAGGAGGAAAAGCAGATCCAAACGAACTCAATGCTTCAACACGGTTGTCCCTGGCAACGGCGCCGGACAAAAGGACATCGCTTCACCTAACAATGGCTCAAGTGCCCGCCCGCTCAGTGCATAATTTAAATGAATCGTGCAACAGGATAAAGTAGACATCCTGTAGACTTACCTTGCTGCCGCGCTCATTGAAGATGATTTCCACGTCCAAAATGTTGCCAAATTGCTAAGGGCGGAACAGGAGTTTGAATTAGTATTAATGGAAATTGTTTCAATTGCTCTGGCGCTGTCGCTGCCTCTGGCTTACCCCAAACATGGCACGCAGATCGGGATCCCTGAAGCGAAACGGTATATTGGAGACGTGCAAGCGCTTGGGCTGACTCTTGGCATCCAGCGATGCAGCAGCGGCCACGGCGGCGGCCACCGACGAGGACACCGACTGGTTTAGACTAGTTACCACATTGGGCGATTGCACGGCCGCAGTTATGATTCCGCTGACGGCGTTCATGTGAGCTAGCACCTGTGAGGTGCTGGCGGGCTGGCCGCAGTTGGCAATACTATCCAGACCGGCTGTGGGCAGTATTCCTGACGAGACGCTGCTGCTGGTGGCGGCCAATGCGCCCGAAGCTATGGAGCTGGCTGTCACCGAGGTGGTTGCTGTGGGACTGCTGCTTAAGTTGAGCTGTTGCTGCTGCTGTTGCTGTTGTTGCTGCTGTTGTTGTTGCTGCTGCTGTTGTTGTTGCTGTTGCTGCTGCTGTTGTTGTTGTTGCTGTGCAGTTGATGGTGTTTGCAGCAGCGGCTCACCGCTGGCAATAGGTGATGTGTTGCCCGAGACGTTGCCATCGTTCGAGATGCTATTACTGTTGCTGTTGCCGTTGAGCGCGGCTGCTGCTGTCGGGGCGACTGAAACGCTGGACGGTGAGCTGCTGAGCGGAGAGCTGGGCGTACCACCACCACCGCCACCGCCGCCACCACCGCCACCAGCTCCAGTACCGCTGCCGCCTCCACCAGAATGGGGCAGTGTCGAGTTCTGCTGTGCCTCCGCTGCTTCGTTGGCAATCAATACTGTGGACTGTGGAGGCAAAGAGAAATGAAATATGAAATCAAATTAGTATAATGCACTGCCAACTTAACTTAATCTTAAGCTAAATCTCATGAAACACAAGAGTGCTCCACTAATGATAAAATTCCAAAAATGTCTCTGCTTTATGCACTCCCCCATAAAATGGTTATCCTACATTTTTTTTAAACTCTGTCAGAAGTTTTTAGATGTATAATTGATTTTTTATATGTAGACATATCCTAGACTTGATATTCAAAATGAAATTATTTTAATGGTTACTTTTTTTTTCTTTAAGCATTAAACTGAACCTCATATTGCTCTTGCTAAAATAATATAAAAAGTCGGTAAATTTCTCTGCTTTCTGCACTAACCATTAAAAGCATATCCTGCCTTCATTTAACTGTATCAGGTGATTCTTAGATGTATAATAATTAACAGTAAAATTAAATTAGTTTAATTGTTAGTTTTTGGCTTAAAGTAAAATCTTATCAAAATCTCTGTATCATCCCACATCTATTCAATTGTATTACATAGAAGTCGATAAATCATAGACTCGATATCGATATATCCAAGATAGGATATCGATATATACCAAATTTGATATAGTTAATAGATTAATATTATACATTCATATAATTTAATATACATTTGTTGTTTAATTCATACTCAGTTTCATTTAATTTCGTATAATTCGCATTTTGCAGTACAATAAATATTCAATTGCGCATAAATCAAATTTGCAACATTATTTACAGACCCATTGCAATTTTTACTTAATTCAATTATGCTTAAGTTCTGGACTCTCACGGGAATCCAGTGCACAAATTGAGTGAAAACCAATATCAACAATGCTTTAGTAATGTAAATGTATTATTGATAATTGGTGAAATGTAGATGCATTTGTAGTCGCTGCAGCTGACGACGATGCTGTGGCTGCTGCAGCTGCCACATCGAAAATCGAATGCGAACAAGTGCCGCAATAAATAAACAATTGAAACGAAAATACAATTTTCAAGTGGTTTGTAGACACACATACGTGCATCTATTGTGTGTGTGTGCATGTGACCCAATAAAAAAGAAAGGTTACACACACACACACACACAAAGGGAGATCGGACAGACAATCGAACCCAATGCAAATGGCACATTTGTGGCACAGACTTTTGTTGACTTATGCAATAAAACTGTCGCGCAGTGCACCACGCCCACCTACCCGCCCACGCGCTCTCTCTCTCTGTGTGCAACCAAATCCGAGCTATGTCCCTGCGGAAATGTTTGCATTTGTATTTTTGCATTATTAAAACTGAATATGCACAGTGGCATGTTGCCTATTGGCATTGTTGTCAGTCAACCAACCATGCCACAGACCATGTGTCGTCCGTCCTACCCCTCTCTCCTTTTCCCCTTCTGTCACGCTCTATCTCTATCTCGCTCGTTATCTGTCTGTCTGTGGGTTTGAATAATTTCATATTATTGTCAATTTACGCACACGATGCAAATGCATTGGCAAATGCAATAACATCAGCTAAGAGCGTATATAAATTCGAATTGTTCAGGGGCGGCGGCCCCTTAATGTAGGCAATAGAAATGGCGCTAACTTAATTTTGGGGTTGCGTTCGCTGTTTCGTATTAAATGCGCATTGTTGACACATAAATTAAAGCCAATTCCTTTTGTAAACATGTATGGATATCGTGGCAAACTATTCCCTATACGATTTCGATTGCATGTTTACCTCGCATTTTCCTTCTTTTTTTTTTTTTTTTTGCCTTGGCTTCATTTGCCAGCGGCGAGGTAAAGTGAAATAGCGTGAAAAACTTTGGCCGTATAAATGGCTAACGATAACGTAGGCAGATCCTGCAAATGAAGTAAAGGGCCGTTGGAATCTGAATTGGAATTGGGAGTGGGAATGGAATGGAATTGGGATTGGGTTACGCTAAAATGACATTTAACGCTTTTTAGTTTATAAAATGCCTTCAGTGAGGCACGCGACGCGGTGCCAGCAAAAAGGTCGCTCGCATGTTTGCATAAATTTCAAAAGCAAAAGCCAAGGAGCAAGGAATTTCGAGGCAAATAACAACGACAGAGGCATACTCTATAAAAAGAGTGTTAATACCTGCAGAAATATTTTTTATTGTCTCAAAAATATTTTAAATATCTCTTTGATCATAAATTATTCCAATAATTTGTATATAACTGATATGCCCCTTTTTATGGCTATCAGATTACACAGCTGTAGAAATATTTTAGGCCTAATGATTGCCCCAAATATTTTAATCGTCTTAATTTACCTTGTCTTTGATCTTCAGGTAAACATGCATACATCATCCTGAAAATCAGTATATAACCAATATACCCCTTTTTTTGGTTTGGCAGTGTATAGGTCGATCAAAATCAAAGGGTTAGCATGCAAAGGGTCTTGGAATTTGAGCTAAATGTTTTCAATTGAATGCGAAAGGTGTTGGCTTTTCTAATCAAAATTAAATTACCCTAATTTCGTGAATTGTTTCATATTCCAAGTGGCTCAAATGAAATTGCCCTCAAATTTCCGAATTATTTGTAGGTTCCAAGTGGTAAACATACCACAAGTATAGCATAGCTTAGCCTAGTTGTACATATTATATTGTGACATGAAAAAAAAAATTCATAATATGTAATATTGTATAACAATATTTTAATTTAATATTAATTTAGTTAGTGCGCTGTAAGACCAAGCACACTCACAGAAAAAAAAAATCCACTCAAGTTTACGAATTTCTAAACCCAGGCAATTGTTATGCAGCCCAACATTGTTGCGAGTCGCGCTGGGAATGACAATGCGTAAGCTGCAATGAATGCGTACTAACTACGTGGGTTCTCTATGACTAAGTAGCAACTTTTGCTTAATGAAGGCGCTGGTCAGCAAAAAGGCAGCAAACAGAGAACAAAAAGGGAGAGAGAACAAAAACTGAGCTGCAGAGACCCAGAGCAAGCATGAAACCGAAAACCAAACTCATGAAACGTATATCCCGATTGTTTGCATTGCTCTAGAGTTTTTCTTGTTATTTTATTTTGTTATTATTATTATTATTATTTTGCTGTTGTTGTTTTTGTTGCTGTCTTTCACTGCGTTTTCATTGCGTTTCGTTTTTGTTGCTGTTGCCTTTCTTGACTGTTTATTTTATTATAATTTTTTGCAGTTGCTGCGTTGGCTAAACTCACAATGCTGAGCACATTCTGTGGGGTATGCGGTAGCTGTTGCTGCTGCTGCTGTTGCTGCTGCTGCAGTTGCTCCATCGCGTGTCCATTTGTCAGAGGTGCGGGTGGCTGCTGCTGCTGCTGCTGTTGCTGCTGTTGCTGTTGCGTGACCAGCGTCGTAGCAGTTGTTCCTGCTGTGCCACTTGCTTGCACTGGCAGTGTGGCTGGAGTTGGGGCTGCGGTCCCATTGCTAATGCTGCCATTGTACTGTGTCTGTTGTGTTTGTTGTTGCTGTTGTTGTTGTTGTTGTGTTGACAGATTTGTCTGTGATAAATTTGCGGATAACAACAAGGATTTGCGTTTAGTTGGCATTACAGGCGCATTCATAGCTGTGCATATATATACATTTATATTTATATATATAAATATATATACGGATGTGTGTAGTGTGAGTGTGTGTGTGAGAGAGAGTGTTTAAGTGACACAAGGACTACAAGAGGCAGACGGTCAGGCAATCCACCAAACGACCAACACCAAAAAAATTGCTTAGTATATAAGTACATTGCAAATATGTATACAAGTAATTAAATATATAAATATATATATATATGTATATAACTAATACATATTCAACTGCATTTGCCATGGTTTAGTTGCTTTTCATTGCTTTTTTGTTTATTTCATTTTGAACATGCCTCGGATACAGCTAGCGTATTGTTAATTATATAAGTAGTATAAATATATATATGTATTAAAATAGTGATATAATAAAATGCGAAGAACTAGAAAATGATTCAACAGTTTTGTTTTGTGTTTCTTTTATACAGTCTTAATCTAAGATATATATTGATATAGATATGTAGGTATATATTTATTATGTATCAAAAAACCATACAATACATGTCAAGGATTATATTTATTCAAATTGCACACACAGATGTGACTCCATCAACCAGTCAATATCAATAACAATTCATCAATCAGTTCAGCAAACTGTCAAACTTAAAGCATGGCTAACATTGTGTGGATTGGTAAAGGGGGTAAATTACTAACAGCAAGTGATAGCCAGATGCATATATATATATATAGATTTAGATATATATATGCATATGTATATACGTATATATTTTGTAGAGAAATATATTAAATTAGATAAACGATCTGTAAATACATCATGCGACCAACACATATTATGTTTGTTTATTATCAAAAAATGAGTTGTTTGGAAAATAAATTCATAGCTGGATTAGTTTCAATGGCGCAACATCCAACCGGGCGTATGCGTAATTTTATATTTTTGATTTAACACCTCAACTAGGACGTTTATGCAGACTTTCTCTTGCCTGTCTGCTGTCCGTTATTCAAGTATCTGTCGAACGGAAATAGATTGAGTCAGATTTGTCGACGATTTACACTCATGCAAAAACAATATAGTTTCAGGCGACAGAGACGGTGAAATATTGTCTTGATATCTGTTTGTTGTTTCTTGCCCAATTCGCCTGAGGCAATTCGCAATGCGTTTGCTCAGCTGTCGTCGCTCGCAGTTATTTGTGACCGAGTGCATGACTATGCTTTAGTTATGGTTTATTTATGACAAAAGTTTGCTTCTATTATTATGCAGTTACCGCAATTGCAGCTGCAATTGCTCAATTCATATTTAATTCAGATAAAGGATATACCGCTAGACTAATTGAATGAATTTACATGTAGATGCCAGCTAATGGGGTGTGTAACATCATGTGACAGCTCAATTATTGACAACAGAGCTGTAACAGAAATTAGCTAAAGATATATCAAAAATATAGAAATATACAATTCACAGATTTTCCCAACTTAGCAGAACAATAGTTTAATTTTTGATTTTCTAGGCATACTACATTAAAGTTAACTCACTCTATTGTTCTACAAGGTAAGACTCCCTTATACCAAGAAAATCCCATTGAAATTAAACTAAGTAGATTACCACGTGGACATATTTTGTTGATGAGTTGTGTATTTAAATCAAATTTGGCTACATTGCCTATGCTATGTCTAAGTATGTTTGCTAATTTATGCCTAGATTCACAATGTTAAGTTCAACTACAAAACGACAAAAGGAACACAAGTTAAAGACCGAAAATGAAACAACAACAAGCAATTGTATTGCCAATAATTAAATATTTGATTATTTATTGCACATGAGAGGCCAAAGTTCGCCAACATTAAAATGCAAACAATTAAACAATTGCGTAAGTGTGTGTATATGTGTGTGTGTGTGCGTGGTATTGTGTGGCACACAAATTAAATGTTACACAAAAGCTTAGCTGAAGAATGCAAAGCTCAGCTGTTAAATTATTCAAATGCACGAATCAATTTTCATAAACAAATAAGCACATGCCGCTGCTCAAACAAATGCTGCGTGAAATAAAATCACACGAAATCGCAAAAAAAAAAAAAATAATAATAAATAAAAAATTTAAAATTGTCCAAACATTTGTGATTCAATATAAATACTCAGAATTATTCGTTAAATAAATGAAGAGCATAAAATATGTAAGAGTCATTTAATTTAAATGCTTGAACTGATTCCCTTAAGACCGAATCCAAAAATAGCAATTGTGGATGAGAGATTTTAATTTTATATGTGTTTATTTTTTATTCTCTTTCTTTTTACTTTAAATGAATTAGTTTTTTTGCTTTAGTCTATGAATTGGCTTGTTGAATTTTTGAATATTTTAATGAGAGCATAAAATAATTTGTAAGCGCTGTAAGCCACACAGAGCTTAGCCGAATGTCCTTCGGGCGTTTGCTGCTGCACATAAGCAATAACAACAACTCAAGCGACACGTGCTGGACCAGCCCCAAAAAGTATGCTACAAAAATATGAATGCTAAATTGTGTACATAGAGCTTACAGAGTGCCCTTCTCTGTTTATTGCTGGTTTTTGCAAAGCACGTGATCAAATATGTAAAAGAAACAACTAACATGATGAACGTGTTTCTGAGTCTGTGTGTAAGTGTGTGCGCGTGAGTATGTGTGAATGTGTGTGAATCTGTGTGTGTTTGTGTTTGGTGCATAGTTATAGGCACACTCAACGACTACATAATGACAAATCAAAGCAGAGCAAGACAAAACCGAACCCAAAAGCCAAAGCCAAAGCCAAATTAACGCTACAAAATACAATTCAAAAAGACAAACACACACAGAGCGACAAAGAGAGAGAGAGAGAGAGATAGACACACACGCAGCACACACACATACACATTTAGAGTTAGAGAGTGTTGAGCGTGAGTGCTTGAGATAGAATCTGCAGACGAAACTCACCTTTTGTTGGATGTACATCGGGGCATTGACAGCAATGCCATCTGCCACGCTGGTGGCCACTGCCACGGCTGCTGGTGCGACACCAGCTGCTCCTGTGCTGCCATTGCCCGCTGTTGAGGATTCGGTGGCTGCCTTTAGCTGCATGCCGGGCTCAGTTTTGATGGCGGCTGCTGTCACGGCTAGCGACAGGCTCTCTGCCGCTGTGGGCGCACCAGCAGCGGCCGCTGCCGCTGGTCCTGGCGCGGCAGGATAGCCGGCTGGTGCGCCTGGAAACGGCGCCACGCCAGCCTGCACCATGTGCTGCAAATGAGAGAGGGAGAGAGAGAGAGAGAGAGACAGGGCAAGGACCAAGATTAGTATAGAAATCAGTTGAATTTATATATGTATGTGAATTAAAATAAATACTGCGAGTATTAGTTGACTTATAAAATATGTATATTTTGGGCACTCGCCCAGGAGATTATATGAACACATATTACATCATCTGCCATCGGTTTTTGAAAAAGCGTATCAAATTGTCTACCAGCAAATCTGCTTTTTGCATCATTTCTGACTGGACCGACTGCATATTTGTGTATGTGTGGGTGTGGTTGAATGCTGCCATAAAAGTGCAAAATGAAATCCATATAGTTTATTTTGCACGTAACCCATGACCGCTATCTATGGCAGTCGCTAAGCTCCTGGGTAGACAAAAGCAACTAACTGCCAAGTGGATACAGACATACACACACACACACATACCGACACACATATACAAACAAATACATTGGCTGTAGCATTGCGAGTTTTAAATTGCAATTTTTATTTGCACCAATTTTGGCTATTATTTTGCTTGGGTTACCTGCCAGCTGCCACCCACGTAGTCACACACACACACATACATACACACACAGCGTTAGTTGTCAACAGCTATGAAATATGCAAAATTTGCAGCTTATTCGAGCTAAATAAACCTCAGCTCCAACCCTAATACATGGCACAGCTCCCACAGCCCAACCATTTTGTCAGCAAACTTTTTGTAATTTAAGCGAACCAAAGCCAGATGGATACACAGAGAGAGAGAGAGAGAGAGAGAGGGATGAAGAAGGAGAACTAGGTAAATGGGGATTATCGTGTGAGTGGCATTTTAATATGTTTCACTGTAAATTTGTTGGCGCTGTTGTGTTTCTTGATTAGAACGCTTGCCTTGTCGGCTAAGGCTGAAGCTGAAGCTACATGAAATGGATATTAATTTTGGGATTAAGCGAAGCATGGAATATATTTCTTGAATTTATAAACTGTCAGAGCCAGCAATTTCTGGTTATGTACAATATTTCTCAAATTCATGAAAAAAGTTGAAGAAATACTAAAAATATAATAAACAAGATTTGATTTTTATGTAAAATAAAAAATACTAAACTTGGTTTATAATTAGTTTAAAAATTCAGTAAAAATACCTCAACATTATAATATTTTATACTCCTGAGCATTGCAGAAATAGTCCTTCGCATACCAGTTTATTATTCAATATTATTCCCGTCACGAAAATTTGGAACAACATGCTTTAGGATAAACCCAAAGCACATCAAAGTTTTTCAAAACACACAGATCCGAATAAACCATGCCTGATGCATTGGCTGCGGTTCGCATCTCTCGTCTCATTAGGCAGCCCCAAAAAGACAAGCACTCTGAAGGCATACAAATGTCAGTGATCATATTTTTGGCACCGCCCCATCTCCCATCTCCCATCTCTTTGGGGCCACCCCACACACATTCGGCGAACGGTTGCCCCTGCTTTGGCTGTCAGTCGTTCCTCCTGCTCCCCATTTGCTTCTTGCGCCTAGCAAACGCCCAGCGATTTGTGCTTTAAAAAATTAGCTTGTTAATTAAATGCAAGCCATATGACATGTTGAGATGCTCCACACCGGCCCCTTCACCTTCGCCGAGGGGCTGTGATGTAATCTGCCGTGCAAATTGGCGCACTTTGCGTATACGCCGTGTTGCTCAAAATACAGATTCGTATTCTCTTCTCTTTCTCTTTCTTTTTCGCTTTTCCTTTTGCTGTTTCTATATATGCAAACGAAAATATTCATGTTAAATTTACATAAATTCTTCGAAAATTCATTTTGATGTCTCGCGACACCGGCGCGATCGCTGCAGTCGGATGCAGACGACTTTTAAATACTCTGACCACAGAGCTAATGAAAAATTCAAAGATCAAACTGAAAGATTAGTTAGTAATTGTGTCAAGAGAAAAAGAAATAATTCTAAATTTAGATATACATGTTTTTATTTTTTTGCCCTATATATTTATGTATTTTCCCAAGCAAACCGGATATATCAAATAGCACATTAAAATTTGTATATGTTTTTTTTATTATTGGCGATTCACATACATCGAAATATGACAGCTAATTAAGCACTTGTTTAATGGCAAGGTATTAGCTAGTCTCTATTAAATGTCATCAAATAAGAGCACTCGACGTTGAACATGTTGAAATGTGTTGCTGTTGCGGCTGCTGTTGTTGTTGTTATTGTTGTTGCTGCTGTCGCTTTTGCAACACTTAATTTATCTGTCAGAATGATCTAGTTTGGGGACCTGCTGCATGAGTTCTTTGAATTGTGCTAGCCAAGTGCCACTTGAAACAATGCACACAGAATACACAGAGACAATGGCATAGGGGCGTTAAATGTTACTCAACTCATATACATACATATATAGATGCATATATCTATCTGGCAAAGGACTACTAATTGCATGAACTTTAATTGACTAAGAATATCGTTAGTCGTGGAAAGAGCAGGCAAAGTGCAGCAACAGCAGTGCCAGCAATATATTACGGTTTAATTTGATAAAATTAGGTTGAGAGCTCTGTCTATTTCACTTACGAAATATTTAAGTGCTTGCTTATTTAATTTATTACAATTTAATTTATTTTATTTTAATTTTATTCATTATTTTTTAATAGTTTATGAAATTTACATTATAGTTAGCACTAATTTTTAATAGTATTTAATATTGCTCAAACAAATTTCCTGCTCTGCAGAGTTCTGCTAAAGGGATATCAAGGGATATATTTAACAATGCCTTCAATGAGTAAGTAGTCGCAATTATAGGAAGAGGGAGAGCGACATTTCCGGTCTTACAGATCCAATTTAAATTGCTACACTTAAAAAAATTATTATTTAACATAGCTCTCTAATAAATTTTGATCGTTTCTTGTTGTCTGTGAGTAAATGTATTTTATAGACACTCTGAGAAAGCAAATTAGAGAGCAACCACCGACTCGATTCCTTGCGAGCTCGTTCGCAATCGCACAGAAACCCTTTTATATAAATGTTTTGTTTGTTTTTTTTTTTTTTTCTGACGAAGCAATTGCATCTCTCTTTAATTTATGTTCGTTAAACTACCCACTCTCGAATGATTTTGTCTAAAGAATAAAACGGTTAACAGTTATTTGCAAGCTATCCCTAATATAATATATAGTTTATATTCAAATTAAAACCTGTTGTTTATAACCAACTGAACTCTGATCAACAGATCTAGCTCAAATGACATCTGTCACCAATACCGAGACACAACTCTGCTGAAAATTTCTTCCAGGGTAATCTCAATCCCATCTCTTTGGCCTACCACCAATATATCTCTGTTAAATATGAATTCACTTTTGGCGCCCAATCAACGTGCCTATTGATTGCCATTCTGTCATTCCCCTATAATTTCCCATAAATTTTGCATGCGATTCTGTCATTTTTATGCATTGCTGCATTGTTAAATATTTTGCATTTAATTGCACTCGAATATTGGCAGAGTGGAGCAGTTTTTCTTTGTTTTGTTTTTACTTTGCAGACTCCTATTTGCATGGCAAATATTTTGTCCGCATTTATTCAGCTATTTCTTTTGCAGCATCCCGTTCTCGGCCAGTGCATGCTGCCAGCTGGCGCACTTTTATCGACTGCGTTGCTTTTTGGCCCACAGTTTGTTTACATTCGCCGGCTGGCACATAGAACGTGTTGTTTTTGGAACGTTTTCAACAAAACACTTTACGCTCTTCATTTTTGCTGCAATTGCTTGCTGCTGCTGGCTTTCAAGTGGCTTTCAAGCATTTGGGCTGAGTGCTGGCGCACAGTTTCGTCAACGCAGCGTGCAGCAGCTGTGCTGCATATTTAACTCTGTCATTCAATTAATCGTGAATAAGTTCGTCAAATTTCGTTAAATATATGCATTACACTCGCTGAAATATTCACAGCGGCGCTCACGGCGTATACTTGATTATCAACTATGTCACACACTGCGCCAGCTGATTGATGGCCCCAAATGAAGAAAACTGGCGCGACATTCATGCCAAGGCATGTTTTGCGGCCATGTCATAAGAAAATGAGAAAACAAAGCAAAAATAAAATGCCTCTCATATATATCTCAGTAATTGTAGATGTACTCGACGCTCATATGTGAAAGTTTTAGGTAGAGAACCCTGAATAATTTGTAATGCAAGCGCATAATAACTCTATTTTGGGCAACCTGTCCAACTATTTACTTTGTATTATTCTGCATACGATAATTACTCGATACAAACACAAATATTTGCATGTGGCTCAGAAATTATATAGTTCCATTACATCAACGGAATATTAATAAATCATGACGTGAACAACAGCAAACAGCACAAAATATATACATTTAGTTATGCCAAATTATTTGTGCTTTCCCGGCGTCTGTCGTCCGGCCGTTGTGCGTCAGCTGCACGACGAACGAACATGTTTCGAGTTTGAACCTGACACAGTGAAAAGCATTTGACCAATTGCTCAATAGTTGCCGCTGATTGCTGCTGACGCAATTGACGTCGGCGCAGCGCCCATTTTGGTCAATCCGATGGCAAATTTGGGGCGCTGGCGACACACGCTTAAAAGCCGGGCCAAGTGCCATCGGACGGCCAGCCCAATCCAAGTTGGTTAGCGAACGGCACGACGCGCTGAATGCCAATTAAAGCGGGCAGCCAATTGAAATTGAAATTGAAATTTGTACAACGCGCGGCGATTGTTTAACTTTATTTTGTTGTAGTTGTTGCTTTTTCTGCTGCCGTTGCCGTTGCTGTTGCAGTTGCCGTCGATGTTATTGTTATTGTTGTTATCTTGCCAAATTTGCGTCTCAATTGCCCAATGGGCGTGGAGTGGAAAGCTTTCTAGGTCGATGCTAATCACGTCTGCCTTTCAATTTCCAGTTGCGAAAGCAGCGCTGCATATTTGCCGAGAGCCAGCACTATAAAGTCAATTTGCCAAACTGCAATTGGCCGGATGAAGGTCATTTACTGGCAGCTGTC